TCCCTTGCAACACCTAAACCGTCTCTCATCTTTACATTTTCCAATCCTTCGTATTATTACAATTGCCACTATTTACTAATTGTATATACCTATATTAATTTTTCTGTAATTGGTATATAGTTAATTACCACTATATGTAAATTATGTGACTAATTTTTTTGGAAAAGTTTATAAATTATTATTTTTTTTAAAATCATCAAGTTTTTTGTTAAATAACCACATGTGGCCTAAATATTTCAAATAGAAAAAGGAAATTGTGTTTTACTTAACCATATTAAATTTATCATATTATGATGCAATATTAAACTACCAAATTTACTGTTGCACAATCACGTAGATTCAGTAAAGACTTAATAACTTAAAAATAATTGGAAATATCATTAAACTAGTTATATTTTAGATAAGTTCAACACTGAACTATAATGAAGAAAACTGTATTATACTCTATCAAATACAAGTAAAATGAGACTAAAAGTTTGACAAAGATCAACTTATTAATTTATTAATTTCAAGTATTTGATTTATATATTTTATTTTAAGGTCATTTTGACTAATTTCTAAAGCAAATAGAATATCTAATCGTTTTTTAAATTAATTTTTTACAAATTTCATCTAATAAAACATCATACAAAACATAATACTTTAGAAGCAACAAAACATATTTATTGAAAAGCTAGATTTTTTTACTCAACAATTGGTTAATAAAAATAAAATAAATTAAAAATACGATAGTAATATGAAAAACTGAAATGATAAGTAGCATTTCAATATTTTTAAATGAAGTATTATGAAGCTATTTGATTAGTTGAGCAGATTAATATAATATTATTACCGATTTGGCTTTTTTGATAATGATAGATTACATCATTGTATTAGGATAACTTTTTATTTGTGATAGATGAATTATCTAATAGTATAGAAGATGAGAGACAATTAAAAAAATAGATATCTAAATCTAAATTATGAGAATAAGCTCATAAGGTGGAAAAGAAAAATTCGGGGAAATGAACGAAGAAATTAAGAGAAAAAAGAGAATTAAGATTGGGCACAAAAATTACTATTGCAGCTATAGAAAAGAACTAAAACCTCTAAATTTGATTAAGAGTGAATATAAATTAATTTAAAATACGGACACTTTACACAAATATTGAGGACCAATGATAAGAAGATGAACGCGTACTTGGAATAGAATTGGGAATTCAGGAGCAAGAAAGAACATTTTTAGAGTCAAATATAAAAAGGAAAAGAGTTTTTTATTTTATTTATTAATATACTTTAAAAAGAAAAAATACAAAATGTTATCATGTAATTACCATCAATTTTTTGCTCCCTTGAGAATTGGGGCATGTAATAACCTAATTTTAATAAAGCTCAATTTTATTAACTAAGTAAATATATAAAAGATAAATGTACCAAATTGTTAATTACTCAAACTAATTGCAATATATATTTTCAAACAAAACATTAAAGGTGCGCATCGGGAGTGTTCAATTTGTTGGGCCAGTGCTAGCACAGGCCCACGCCTATCTAGTTCAACTATACGCAAGGGCACTCTCCTTCGGAAAAAAAGAAAAAAGAGACAAGGGGAAACAGTATTTGAATGGAAAAGATAATGAACAGAACCAACTGAACGTACAATCATCAAAGAGCTTTGTACAATGCATGTTACTACGAGCGTACATCTTTCTTCTTTTTTGTTTCTTTGAACAACCACCAAAAGTTCAAATTTCAAAATTAAAATCAGAATAGCCCTCCATCGGCGCGCTCGCACCAAGTCCGCCGCAACCGCAATGGCAGGGATATCGAAGGCGGCGCCGGGAGCATTCACGATAACACCACACAAGCTCTCAATTTGCATTCTCATTCAAGTCTATGCTCCTCCCTCCCAAACCTCTGTCCCTTTCCCTTTCTCTTCTGTCTCTCAACACAATCTTCTCGCCTCATTCTTATTATCTCTCACTAAGGTAATTTTTCTTTTATCTCTTCCTAGCTTTCAAATTCTGAGTGATTATTAGATAGTCCATTAGAAATTATTCAGTTTCAATCGTGGTTATTTTCTGCTGACAGTGTTTTTTTACTGAACAACACTAAGCACTGATTTTGACTTTGAAACTGCTTCGGTGAAAATTGATGCTGGTTAAATCCGGTAAATGGAGCTTCTGAAATAATAAATATTAGTTATTTCTTACTACTCAAGATAATATATCATGTTTAATAAATATTTAGTTATTCAGCAAGCAGTTTAAATGTAATTAACTTTATGAAAAAGTGGTTTTGTTTATATGATAACTAAACGCTGATTTTCATTATCCGAGCTAGTGATGTAATCAGCTAAAAGAACCAAATCAAATAGCCCCTAGAGGTCGGCATTTTTTGCTGCTTTTTACTTTATTAGAACTGGATTTATGTTGATAGGGTTAGAATTTCTGATTTGAGCTTAATTTTCTTCATTTCTAGAAAAAAAAGGTCCTGAAACTTTTTCTATGGTGTTTGGTATACATTATGCTGATTTGAATTTTATTAGTCATTTAGGACTATATATCAATGATTTTGTGGGCAAAATGGTTGGCGGTCTAAATCTCCAAGCACAGTGTAGAGAATGCTGTTTGAACAGAGTAAATTTGTCTTTTTTCTTGGAACAGTCTTCTGAGGATATTTTTGAGCCAAAGCTGGATGAACTCATCTCACAGCTGAATGAAATTGGAGGCGTACTGAAGCATTGGTTGAGCGACCATTTAGCTGGAAAGCTATCATCTTTAGCCTCACCAGACGATTTGTTTAACTTTTTTAATGACTTGCGAGGTAATGGAACTTATTATTTATCTAAGTTTGTAACCTGCTTAGCTTTTTATTTACGAAGTTTTATCATTTATGTTATTATTATGAATAGGCATACTTGGGGGTTCTGATTCAAATGTCATGGATGACGCTCAAATCATTTTGGATCCTAGCAGCAATCTTGGAGTCTTTGTTCGTCGTTGCTTACTTGCGTTTAACCTATTGTCATTTGAGGTACTATTGAGCTATTCATTATCTTGTTAGAAGGACTTGGCTCTGTCAAGACAATGGCACCAATGAAGCATAAAGTTCAATGCATGAGTCTTAGGTGTTATTCTTCTTGTGCAGTCATTGCTATTATTGAACAATTTGAATTTTGATTTTACTTTTCCAATTTGACTTGCTATTGCGATTTATTTTTGCTTGGATCATGCATAGGGTAAATCCACTCAATGAAAGGTTGATAAACATTTATCTCTGGATTGTTTTTCTGTGTAGGCTGTCTGTCATCTTTTGACAAATGTAGCAACATATTGCAAGGAATCTCTCTCAGCTTATCCTCCTTATGAGTTATCACATTTCAACGATTCTGATAGCTATACTGAAGCACCAAAGCACTATGAGAACATGGATTTGGAGAATTTTGTTGTTGAGAAAGTCAACAAAGAAATCGAAGCAAGAAATGTGGTTGACGAAAAGCTTTCCTTCCACAATCATGCACCTAAAGCTTTAGTTAGATCAATTGAAGGTATTTTTCTTTGGTATATTTGTAGAAGTAAAATCATATCTGTATGCATTGGGAAAGATTGATTCCTGTATGGTGCAAAATTTACGTGCAATCATTCAGTTGAGGATACTGCTATTATCACTTCATGAGAAAGGGCTTTGTGTTCCAAAAGAAAGAGTAGAGTTATGCTTCTTCCAACATTATTTTCTAGCTATTTGTAGCAAGGATAATATCCTTGTAGTTATTCCAACATGAACAAGGATTTTAGTGCATCATATAGGTAGTACGCAATTTAAAGCACTATTCAGATTTACTGTGCGAACGACGAACAAAACCAGGATTCTAGTTTCAGATGATATTCTCATGTTGAATTTAGTTCACATTCTATGAAATCCAGATCCAGTTGGCTACAGAGCTTCATGGGATCTCGTAGTTTTGTCCTTTTTCTGTGTAGATGAGTAACTTATTCAGAAGCTTGGTCAGTAGGTATACAAATTTACGGGAGTTTCCCATTAAGGGAATTCCGAAAAATAACACGAACAAAAGCTGCAGCAGCTATTATAGACCCTTACTGATTGCTGTAGTAGACTTACTTACCTGCCTAAGACATGATGATTTTGTAGACGAATAACTTATTTTTAAGACTATCAATAGAAGTATAAAGGATATACAGGCATTTTCCTCTTATGCAGTAGAAAATATTAAGGAAATTCCAGAAAGTAAAATTAACAGAAGCTGTAGCGACTATACCGACCTTTACTGATTGCTGTAGTGGTCTTATTTACCTTCCTAAGATGTGATGTGTTGATGTATGCTCAGTAATCCGGGTATCTTATTCAGCTTTGAACTGTCTTTGGTTCTTGCTTACTGAAATACTTGGAAATGAATAAGCCTAGATAAACGATACTTATGCTTTTTTAGTGCTTAATGTTAGTTAGCCATGAGTTGCAGATCATTATTCTTCTCCTGGGCCACAAATTAAAAGAATCACTAAGCCAAGAGAAGTTAGCACATGCGCATCTTCTTCTTGTGATGCATCGGATTGTGTTGATTCTCAGACTGGAGCTTTCTTACGTACAAATTGGCAAATACAAGGATATCTCTTGGAGCAAGCTGATACAATTGAAAGGTGGCTGAAGTTTTATCGAATACTTATGTCAGCATATCATGTTTGTCTAGATTCTTAAGCAAATAATTTATCTTCTCTTTCAGGCAGGGAAGCTCCTTCACTCTCAATGCTTTTGAGTCTGTATTGAAGGACCTTCTTAAATTAGCTCCAGAGTTACATCGCGTAAGATACTATGGAGTGATGTGTTTTGGGGATTTGAGTTGAATTTGTATTATCTGTCTCTAAAGTAACTTTTTCTGCATTTTATGANGCTATGAAGTGATGTGTTTTGGGGATTTGAGTAGAATTTGTATTATCTGTCTCTAAAGTAACTTTTTCTGCATTTTATGAAGGTTCACTTCTTGCGTTACTTGAATAGCCTTTATCATCAGGACTATCATACTGCTCTAGAAAATATCCACCGGTATTTTGATTACAGGTATACTTATATCGTCTATTATGTTGTATCTACATTTCAAACGTCCTTCATGTTTGCATTAATAGCAATTCACAGATTCTTTGGATGATGCTCAGTGTAGTATAATTGCAGTAGTTAGCCGGTAAAAGTTTACTCAAAGACACCAGCAATCTGCCAGGAAATACTAGACATGTGGTTTGAAGAATGATATTCTGTTTACTTATTCTAGGCAACCATAATGTGAGCTTGGGGCTTACCCTTGCAATTCTATGGGCATCCCAGGGATTAGACTATGACCGAGCAAGCTAATTTCTTCCTGACAATCTTATCATCTATGATGATCTTATCGTGCTTATGAACCTGGACTAATTAGGCCTTGGGGCAATGATGATTTGGTCCTATCTTCAAGTTAAATGGTCGATTCCTAGGATCAATAAGTTTTTTGTAAATGCAATGACTAGAAGTTATGTTGACAAACATACAGTTTGAGGTATAATTAAGCAATGATTCCAGAAGGTTTTTATAGATGTTGTGTCCTAAATCTATTGAAAAATAAGAATTGTCCCATAGCTCATTGAAGCAATGCTAATTTAAGGACGGATGGCCTAGTGATCAGTGAAGTGGGTGAGAATCATGAGGCCTCAGGTTCAAATCCCAGCGAGGAAAAAAAACCGATGAGATATTTTCGCATCTGTCCAAGCTTTGGTGGGTAGAGTAACTTGGTACCTGTTGTTCGTGGGAGGTGACAGGTATCCCATGAAATTAGTCGAGGTGCGCATAAGCCAACCCGGACACTATGGTTTAAAAAAGAAGCCAACCCGGACACTATGGTTTAAAAAAGAAGGAAGAGAGAGAGAGAGAATTGCAGGGCTTGAGGTTGGGTTAAATGTGTCATGATCATTATTACTAGTGTGAAATTAAGAAAAATTTCTCATTAACTTAATCTTTTTAACAATTTACAAGAGATGTTCCTTATATCGGAATCTTAGGCTACATACTTCTCTATGCTAATAAGGTAATTCCGTAATCAAATAAAGATTATCCTACAGTATTCTATATAATATTCTATAAGATTTTCTTTGTTCAAGTACAATGAGGACATGTATGAATTTAGACTTGACATTCTAAGTTTCTAACGCACCGCCTCAAAGTCAAAGTCAAAGTGGAGAGACCAACTTGAGTTTGCTTATATTGGAATAATAGAAATTTGACATTGAAATCTCGCTGGGATAGTGCACAATCACAAAAAAGCGATGCTAGAGTCCTTTCCTCCGAAAAGTCATTGGTAAGTACACAATGAAAGAAAGTGCTTCTTGCACTACTATGTAATTGAAGAGTTTGAGAGTACGCAGTGAATCCACCCGCCACAGAAAAAGGAATTTATTCTCAACCATGTAAAAAGGATATTGTGTTGTAAATTTCCAAGACATTATCAACCTAATTTAAATTGCAGAACAATGACAAATAATTCAAGGTTTATATGAGGGCACTGATAGCATAGAAGTTAGTAGCATCTATCGGTGTGATCGTTCATGCCATCAGAATGATCGCCATGAATGATCCTAAAGAGAGGAGCATCACCTCAATAGTTGTCATAGAGAAGAGCATCGCCTGGACGGTCATCCGGAGAGTAATGATGCCGGTTGTCGAAGAGAGGAGTGGTGTTGGATACAAGGAAGAAGAGAAGAAGAACAATGGCCCGGGGGCAAAACATATTGTCCAGCACAGCCCGCCAGTAGTTTAAGTTATTTGAATCTTTACCAAGATTGTAGAGGCTATGGTACCATGTGAAAATAAGAAAAACTTCTCCTTAACTCGATTTTATAAAACAGTTTGCAAAGAAGTGCTCCTAATAAAGGAGTCTTATGCTACGTACAATATGGTAAATATTCAATCTCCATACTAGTAAGATAAGTAAATATTCCTTAATAAAATACATAATGCACTACAATATTATAAGGTTATCCTTACTCAAGTATGATGAATTTAGACAGATATAAATCTAGACCACATATTCACATGATAACACTTTGCAAATAGATCTGAGAAATATTTTTACCAAAGTGCAGGGACGGAAGGATGTGATTTTATACCTTCTTCTTCAACCGGTTGCAATAGCTTTGGGAGATATGAAGTTGCTTTATTATGCTTGGGAATGATGCATTTTCATTTTGGGCACCCAAAGCAAGCTTTGGAGGTAGGCATATTCAACGTCATTTCCTACCTTCATTGTCCATGTTATGTTTTTCATACTTTATTGATTTTGATGTAGGTCATGCCCCCCTTATTGGTGTGCTGAAGGTGAGGGTGGGCGTAGGAGTGGTCTTAGGATCTTTGCTGTTGCACTTTGGCATAACAACTATTTGCTTGATATTTTCAGGTGTTGACAGAAGCTGTTCGTGTGTCTCAACAGGTGGCCATATTTGTTCCTTCCCTTTTTTCGACTATGGCTTCCCTTCTCTTATATGTGATCTTTTATTCCTTTGTGCACTAAAGTGGCATATAATATTGTTTGTTCACTTGCATTGATACAAATTTGTCATATTGAGAAATTTTTCAGATGAAAGGCAACCAAGATTAAAACCACGGGATCTTAATGGCTATCAACATATGCATTTGCGATGATACAGCTAATGTTGATAAAATGCTTAAAAAAATTGCTTTGTTAATCACTTCTAGTGGCATTTTATGATTGGTTGACCAATACTTAGCAAGTCAAAAGTGAAGGCTTGGTTGGTTGAGCTCCCTCTTCTGTCTTGCTATGTTTGTCTCTAGTTTAAGGAGAGAAATAAAGTCAGTTAATGGTGCTTTAAGGGGAAGAAACTCGAAGCGGCTGGACCCATATAAAATTAACTTTTACTCAGCCACTCAACTACCATCGACACCTCAAGTTAGCATAATACTTCTTCTATCTCTTTTTGTTGAATATAGTATGAATGACCATGGAGTTTAATGTTGTAATTGACTTGTTATTATATTAGTAGGAATAGAATTATTATCGTTAATTGATAAGTTTGCATGATGTGAAATGCATATTGTGATTGTATGAATATTGCTTTTTGAAATGATTAGAACTATCAAAGAACGAGAGTGTTGATAATATTATTATTTGTACAAGTGAATCAAGCATTTCGGACATTGCAAAAATGGAGGCGTATCATACAATTGGGATGGAGGGAGTACTTTTGGGCCAACTATTCTTTGGGGAGTCATATACTTATTCTGTGCACATACCTTTCCCTTCATTTGTTTTTGACAATAAATGGACCTTTGGCCTAACTCAACTCCAAAAGCTAGCTGATGAGATGAGGATTGTCCAAGTTCACATAAGGAGACTAAATTCCCATCCCACAACTGATGTGGGACAAACTCAACAGTTTTCTATAAGATATTTCTTGATTATTTTGTAATTGGTTTCTTGCCGCGTAGTGCTCATGGGGAAAATCCTGTTTGCTTGTTTTACATGGATCTTTTGCTATTTCGGCTGTTCATGCTCTTTGATAGAATCTTCTTTCTCTTCTTTCTGGTAATTACAAATTTATCTGGGACAAAAAGCTCTCCTTTGATGTGCCATATTTTCACAGTTAGCTATCACCGGTTTCAAGTTTTGTTTCTTCTCAAGTTGTACAATTGCTGGGTAGAGCATTTGCTTCTGTAAGGAAACATGATATTGAGTGACCTGACTTAGTGGCAGAAGAACCCATAATTTACTGGAAGTTAACTCAGTTAAAGCAAGTCCCTAATCTTGGTCTAGTTTAGTTTTATTGTCTATTTTGTCTCAAAGAGTTTATCCTAACAAGGAGTTAAAAATGCAATTGATGTATACCACCTTTCCTATGCTAAAGAAGTATATCATCATAGCAGTCCCAATTATATTGCAATCTTTTGATGGTAGTTTGGAGACCATTGAATTTCCTGCATTCCTTCTTTAGGCGTTTTTCATTATATTGTGCTATAGGATTATGAACAAATACTTTTTCTTGTCACCAACTAGTTGGCAGATGATTGGTTTTGCAATATTTCCTTGCATGGGGTGTCTGCACAAGATGATGAATGGACACTGCTATTTAATTGATGCCCATTGAACCTTTTCATAATTGGATACCGGGGAAATTAGCGCAATTGTTGTTTGCCTTCAAGATCTACATATACTATACATAAAAAATACTACGTCTATTTTCATTCTTGGTCTCTCTGCAACTTATTTCAGTATCCTAAAAATTTCCGTCACATCTTATATTGTAACAGAAGTTACATAGATCCTGTCTCTACACTTTCCAGTGCAACTCCTCATTTTTATTTTCTTAAATATCTGAAAGTAACTTTTAGCAGTTGCATTTTTCCCGGTGTATAAACAACAAACTTCAACCGTTGTTTAAACAATCATCTAAATCAGAACAAAAGGCTCCATCTGGGGAGGAGCTTTAACATTTTTTATCAAATTGCATAACTTGCTTAGCTGATGGCCAAACGTGCAAACTCTGAATAAAGAAAATTGAAAAGATACTGAAATTACAAATCTCCGAAACGGTATCCATCTCTTTACATTATACCTTGTGACCAATGCATTAACAGCAACTGGCGAAGGAGCTCCAAGAAAACGGAGACCTCTCTTCAATATCAGCTGAATCCATTCAGAATTGTTTTTAAATGCTAAAATGTGAATCCCGCTGATGAAAAGGCACAAATGGAACTCGGTTGAAGTGTCAATGTCTTCAATGGTTTCGGCCTGTCTTTCACTGTATTGATCAAAACTCTGGTAGAAAGTTTTTAACTTCCTTTCCAGGAGAGAGCAATGGATATGGTTATCCGGTCCTCCCAGATTTCAGTTTGTTTCAACCATAAACAGGCTTGATGTGCCTGTAATAACTTTTTCCCTGTAGAGTTGCCTCTTTATTTAATTTATAACATCCCTTACTAGGAGATCTAATATTTCTCCTCTCTTCATATGCAGCAAAATAATGATAGTTGTCTTGCTTACACGTTAGCAGCAATTTGCAAGATGTTGTCTGAATTTGGAGTCTCAAATATGAGGGGGCTTATCGGATCATCCTATTCACCTGTAACCAGTATAGGAACTTCATTATCCACTCAACAACTCTTATATGTTCTATTGAGAAGATCCTTAAAGCGAGCGGAAAGTCTAAAGCTGAAACGACTGGTTGCGTCTAATCATCTTGCCATGGCTAAATTCGACCTGACTGTAAGCACTTTAATCACTCTCTTGTGTATGCATTGCAGTGACCAAATAATTAATGGTGATTTTTAATCATACCATACACCAAGGTAGACCCATTTGCATGAGTAAAGTGTGTTTATGTAAAGGCACCTTCTTTTAAAGAAAAAAGTGTATATGTGTAAAGTGGAAAAATGTAAAGGCGGTAAGAAATAGAAGCGGTACCCATTCTCGCTCATTCATGTTGCAAGGTGTTACTCATTTTGTGTCCTTGAATATGTCGCACAAATTACTCAATTGAATTTGTTGCTTTTGGATGTTCATTCACTCAGATAAGACAATTAAAGTGTAACATAACATCTTTTTATTGGGTTTTGGATAATCCAATGGAGGGATGGTAAACTTTTGAGATTTGGAGAGTATGTGAAATAGCCAGCACAAGGTATTATTCATGAACTTAATGTAATATTAGCATTTCTTACTTTATTTAATCAGACTGTGGATACTTTTAGTTTCATCATCCCATTTATCTGTCTCCTATTTGAGATATCTTAAAGGTGTTAGATACATTATGCCCCAGGTTCAGAAGGAGAGGTAATAAAATGAGGGATATGTGGTCGGTGCATGTCATGAGTTCGGATCCTGTTAGTGAACCAAGTATGATATTTAAGTGGAGAAGAATAGAGGGGCAAACCCCATTGCCCTTGGAGTTTCAGATCTGGAATTAGTGGATTTATTATTATTAAAAAAAATAAAATTCATTTCACGTCAGTTGGAAAAAAGGTTCAAATCTATAAACTAAGTGGAATCTAAACTGTTGTATGTGTTTTCCCTTGAATTAAATATTTTTGCAGAAATGCTACTCAATCCATCAATCAATCAACTAAAGTCCAATCCCAAATTATTGGGGCTTACGAAATGCTACAATATAGTATAGCAAATTCTTCCCAGTTGCTTAACATTCACATTCACATCCGCAAGCCTTTTATCTAAGGGCTTGATAATTTTGGCATGCTCCATTGCTCTCCGTACTCCCCGTACTTATCCCTGAGCAACAACAACAACAACAAACATAGTGAAATCCCACAAGTGGGGTCTGGGGAAGGTAAAGTGTACGCAGACCTTACCCCTACCTTATGACGGTAGAGAGGTTATTTCCGAAAGACCCTCGGCTCAAGAGAAGTGAAAATGAAGCAATAAATAGACAGTAGCAACAACAAGGTAATTAAACATGGGCGCAAATGGAGATATGTGCAATAACAGAAATCTAAGAATACGACACTATAAGAATAGAGTCAATCTCGGTGGAAATAATGACACAATGTGAAATAGCAAGGGGCTCGGAATAGGAAAATACTACTCTAGACTGCCTGTCAACCTACAACCCTAATCCTCGACCTCCACATCCTCCTATCGAGGGTCATGTCCTCGGTGAGCTGAAGTAGCGCCATGTCCTGCCTAACCACCTCACCCCAGTACTTCTTAGGCCTCCCTCTACCCCTCCTCTGACCTGCCATGTTCAACCTCTCACACCTCCTAGCCGGTGTATCAGGGTCCTCCTCTTCATATGTTCGAACCGTCTCAGCCTCGATTCCCGCAACTTATCTTCTACAGGAGCCACACCTACCTTGTCCCTTATATACTCGTTCCTAATCTTATCTTTTCTGGTATGCCCACACATTCATCTCAACATCCTCATTTACGCTACTTTCAACTTCTGGACATGAGATTTCTTGACTGGCCAACCCTCGGCTCCATCAACATGGCCAGTCTAACTATCAGTTTATAGAACTTGCCCTTAAGTCTAGGTGGTACATTCTTGTCACACAAAATACCAGAAGCGAGCCTCCATTTCATCCATCTCGCTCCAATACGATGTGCGACTTCCTCGTCGATCTCCCCGTTACCCTGTATCACAGACCCAAGATATTTGAAACTATCTCTCCTGGGGATGACTTATGTATCCAGCTTCACGTCCATTTCTGCTTCATGAGCCCCAACACTAAGCTTACACTCCAAATACTTATCCCTGAGCGATGTTATTAAAATCCATTGTTTCCTCGCTTAGTGATCCGAAGCGAGAAGTTATTGTTTCATGGATGAAGCCATGCGCTTTATAGAAGTGTGCGCTTCAAACTATGATGCACAAAGTGAGCTCAACAACAAGCAACCGGTTTTGTGAATCTTAACTTTGAGGAGTTGGGTTAATATTGACATTATTGTACATTGAACAATTAAATTAGTTATTTTTAATTGCAATTTGTTCATTATAAGTACTAAATTCATATATGTATTTGGATCTTTTTAATTTCGTGAATTGTGCGCTCAACTTCAAAAAAGCGTGCGCTTCACTTCTCGCTTTTCGCTTCAAGTCCTATGGACCATGTCGCTTTTCTGTTCCTCCTCAATCCTTCATAACCATTTCCAAGCAAAACTCAATTACTGTTACATCCGTCATCCCCAACAGACCATCCTTAATAGGCAAAGTGATGTTACCCCTGTCAGCAGGTGAATTTTTTTTCTGACTTCCATTTCCATCTGAGAAAAACTTACCTATACAGCTGCTCAATTTTCTTAGTCCTTGCTACAGGCATTTCTATGAGAGACAGGTTGTAAGTAGATAGGTTGATATATTACCTGCTCCAACTTACACCCCTTAGAGAGGTATTGTTTCTTCTCTCCTCCTAGTGGTTCCTCAAACTCCGTGAAAATGGGACTCCGAGCTCGATCTGATATGAATTGTGATTAGCAACTAAAGGCAACCACAAATACATAAGGATTGCTGATTTTACATCTATAAACCTGATTCGACTTTTCTAGTTTCGTATATTACAATTGGAATCATCCTTAAATTGATCTTAAGTTCTGACAGTGATTGGGAGCACAACAAAACTCCTATTACGTGCTTAGTTGGATTGATTAGCATCACAATTAAAGTATCACGGTAAACAACCAGGGAGTCATCGACCACATCCTTAGGTCCACTTGTTGTATCTTAGAAGCCATTAATAGCCCCCTGTGCTGTGATGCGCCAGAGAAACAGAAAGGAAAGCATATTTGGGAAAGCAAAACTTCAAGGAAAGGCTATCACCACTAATTTCTTAGAGCAAATGAACTATATGTCTCCAAAAACTAGTTCTCAACCTGTCCCAGTATCCCTGTTATAGGTTTAAAATAGCCACTGTAGAGCCCTTAAACTTAAGATCAGTATCAGACCCTTAGCTGACGATTAGCCCGACTATTGATTTCTATTTGATGCTTATCGAACTTTTACTTGGAGTGCTTCAACGCTGCAGCAAATGCATATAGAAGTATTAGAACTTTTAGGATAAAACTAGCCCTTGTTACTTTAGTTGGATTCTTCATATAATAACCTTATCAGAAAAGGAAAATTATTGCCATTTCTAAAACAAATACTTACGAGTAAAAAATTCTTTTCATAGTTTATGAACCTGACAGGGCGAGTAATTTGATCAAGTAGCGAGTTTCAGATCAACTGTTGGGTTCTATAGCTGAACTGCAGGTATATGAAAAATTGGTACCATAATAGAAACAATAAACTGTAGGTATTAATTTTTTGTGGTATCATCATTTTTTCTTAAACTCCTGTGAGTATGTCTTCTAATTTTGAAAATAAAGGAAAAATATGACCATCCATTTTCGTACTTATTCTAATCATGCATATAACACAACCCAAATGACCAAAAGGAATTGAAATTATATATAGATTATTATTTTATTGTTTTTAATGACATATATAAACTGTAGGCATAGCCCAGGGGCATGCAGTTCTTCCAATTAATCTTTGAAAAGGTCAGTTGTCTAAATGAAAATGTAAGCTATCCCAGTATGGTCAAACTACCAGGGTCACATTGCCCGTGTTTCACATTTTAGGTCTGTAAGTGATTGAACTTATGCCTGGCTCATGCTTAATTTTTAAGTAGTCAACATCTTCCAAGAGCCAAAATTTGTTCATGGTTCGGTCCTTATGAATTTGTTCATTTCTCAGCTTATTCTTGCACTTCCCTTCAGTTCAAACACGAAAGTCACCTTCACACAACAACTGTGAACAGAGTTGTACTAGGAGATTGCTTTGAACTTCACATGAGCAAGACTGGCTTAATACGAGGAACAGAATTTTGTCCTGAAACGAGAGTTTCCAGATCGCCACAAATCAAACTTCTGTTCAATTTTATAAAAACAAAGTGAGAGTGGACAGCTGAGATAATATTTCTCTTCCATTTCCTGCTTTCTTGGAATTAAGTAATTCTGTGAAATGCATTTGAAGCTGGTTGAAGTGTCACTACTTCACTTACCATCGGAAGGCCTGGCCAGAGATGGGCTTAAATGCCATCTGCTACATTCTTATAAGTTCGCTTGCAATGCTCTGCACATATATTGTTCCTTTTGCCAGCTGTAGATGCTTAGTTTCATCTGGGATATTGAGCCAGATATTTTCTCTGTATTTATTGTTAACTAACTCAAGGAACATTAATGCCTCTCATCATGGAGAGTCATTGCTGAACATTGTATTGTTAGAGGGCTTTTCACTTTCTTCATATGGTTGATGTATATGTTTAATTTTTAAGGAAACTTAACTCGTGACATTTACTGTGCAGCAAGTGCAAAGACCTTTGCTTTCATTTGGTCCAAAAGCTTCCATGAAACTTGCAACATGCCCAATTAATGTCTGCAAGGTTATATTCGCTCATAGACATTGCTTAATCTATAAAGTATAAAGTTTCTTTTTGTGTTGTCGATTTCTTTGTCCTGATTGTATTCATTTTTTGCAGGAACTGAGGTTGAGTTCTCATCTAATTAATGAATATGGTGATGAGGCTTCACTAATGATCTCGGACGGGGCTTTTTGTACTCAATGGATTAAGAACTTAAAGAAGCCAAAATGTTCCGTTATCTTTTCCCATGAGAATGAATGTAGGAGTAATACTGATGCTCTCCAGTTCTGTGGGCAGCCATGTTCCATCCCTGGATCTGTGCTGCAACTTTTAGGCTCTTCGTATTTGTTCCGTGCTACTGCTTGGGAGGTCTACGGCAGGTGACGTGATGATCTTTGTTCTCATGCTTGTTTTGCATACAGTACGGTATTATTATCTATGTGAGATATGTTCCTTGTGCAATTAACGATTAAGTGATGTTTCAGAAGCATGAAAATATTCTGCCTAGGTGACCACTGCCAATTCTGAAATTTGCTAAATGCATGGTTAGCCAGTCTATGCCATTACTTATGATAAATGTTTGGGAAAGGGTTATTAAGAAGGAGCAACAAATCTGCTTCACTGCAGAATTAGAAAAATCCCCAAGTGTCATTACTTTCAAATGCAAAATAACAAGTATTACTCCCTCGCTTCCCGATTTAAGGGTTTCACCTTGACTGGGCAGGTATTAAGGCCTTAATAGTTCAAGTCTTTTAGATTTTGAAAATTGAATTTGACTTCTGAATAATTTGAAGAACTTAAGTACAAAATGTGGCACTATGGTGCTCTCTTGATAGGAGAATATTGGAAAAGTATTTAAGTAAGGGAAAAGCTTATCTTTTCGAGAAATGGACAGCCCTTTGGGCAACCAAAATGAAATTTAGGTCATTTAATTTAGGCGGACAAGTAAATCCTTAGTGTGAGCAGTTAATGATGCTATATATCTATCCTATATTTCAGTCCTGCACAAGAACAAAACAGGAAATTTAAAAAATTGAAGTTTTTGGTCAGTTTACTATTAAATAACATATTTTATGGATGTTTAGTTGCAAAATGAACTGAAACTAAAGGTCATAAAGGAAGATTGTAAGCTTTTCTTGTCCCTTTAACTATAGTTTTAGATCCTTTAGTTAAAACGATAGTAGAAGAGACTAAAGGAGATTTGAGGTTAGAAACAGACCAGAGATGTGGTTGGAATCCAAAGGATGAATACTATGTCACATAGGCAAAGTTACCAAGTTGAGCTATATCAGCTATAGAGCTATGTAAGCTATAGAAAAGGATGATGGCTGCTGTTTTCCTGTGCAGTGCCGAAGATGATCATCACAGTTAGCTCCAGTACTAAACAGAAAGCTTAATAATTTATCATTAGTTCCATGTACTAAACAGCATAAAACATAGCACCTAATTAGGGGAGTGTGTTCTTCTGTAGTTTTAGGACTTGCGGAATGAGAATGATATTTAAGATTTCTTCACAACCTTAATTTATTATAAAAGGACTAACTCACTCTTAAAATTTTTGGATTTGCAACGGAAATAGGAAAGCAGTGTCCAATTTGCGTAACCCAGAGTAACAAAGTATGAAGCCAGTTGGAGATTATGAACACCAACTCGAAATGGTTTTGCCTTATAAGCTTGTAGATCAAATGCTGCATTGTCAGTTCAAAGAAGGCTAGATAGAACTTCCAATGCAGTTCATATTTTTAGGTGTTTTATTGTCACCTGTCAGCTATGTATATAATCTGTACATCTCAAAGTACTCAATTCTAGTTCAGATGTCTTTACTGATTTTCTTCTCCTTTTATATGCTAATTTAGTGCACCTCTTGCTCGAATGAATGCACTGCTTTATGCGACATGCTTTGCCGACTCATCGAGGTAATACTTGTTTGAATTTTTAAGTAGTTGAGCTGTTTGAAACTGTGCCTCCATATTTGTCAACTGAAATTTTCTTTCTTTTCTCCATGCAGTTTGGATGATGTGGCATTAGCGTATGGAAAACTTATCCAGCATCTAGCAGTATTTAAAGGATACAAAGGTTTGCTCAAAATATTTTAGTACTTCATAAGTATTCTTGAATTGGCATAGCTACACAGTAGTTGTACATGTATCTGTTGGCTCATGTCATTATGGTGCATAGATGATAGTAGTAGAGCGGTACTATACTTTAAGTTATTTGCTGATGCATTGTTGACTTGATTTCTTTTGTTTATTCAGTGGAATTACATTCTTTTCTTGATCACCCATAAGGTAAACCCATACTGCTTGAGATGTTGCTTGCTTTTAGACATAATTTCCATTTGGTATCACTACTGTGTTTTGACCCTGTGCAATTTTTCTGTGTGCCCTGGAGATTTTTCTTTGGTCCTAAAGTAGCTGTCAAGAAAATGGACCATAGGCCTAACTAAACTCCAAAAGCTGGCTCATTAGACCCAAGACCATATAAGAAGACCACAGACCATTCCCTCAACCAATTTTGGACACTCTAGCAATTATCCCTACCTCAACACGACTACAACTAAACATGTGTACTGTGAACAAACATATAATTGGAGCCCAACATTGGGTAAACCTAGAATAGGTATGAGCTTGAATCTGATACCATGTTAAGAAATTGGACCTTGGGCCTAACTCAACCCCAAAAGTTAGCTCATGTGGTGAGGATTGCCTAAAATCATACAAGGAGACATGATAAAGACTGTGGGCCTTGAGCCTATTCCTTCAACCAATGTGGGACACAAATCTTTGAAGACTTACCAGAGGGCTTGGTAAGAACTGAACACAGCCTTCTGACAAACATGTCTGTTCAAGTAAAAATTGGTGTCTTGGCAGAAATGCAGGAAAGTGCAGAACTGATTAGCCTTCTCTTCTAGAGACGAATAACATTTATGTCTAATTTAGTCGGAAGAAAGATAGAAGTAGGTCAAATGGAAATATGATTGTGATAGGCTAATGAGTTGTGGCCAAAGTGGTCTCCCGTAAATACTAGGCTACCTCATACCAGTTCATGTTACAATAAGCATTTTGGCAGTAGTGCGGGAAAAAGCTTCAGAACTAATTAGCCTTTTCTTGTAGAGAAGAACATTGCTGTGCAATCCGGTCGGGAGAAGGTAGAAATAGATGAAATTAAATAGATCATGATAGGCTACTGAGTTATGGCCAAAGTGTTTGCCGGTAAATTTTAGACAATCTCATCAGTTGGTAGGGATCCATAATTGTCTTCAGTCTTATGCCAGGTTTTAGTTTACTGTGCCCAAATTAGTATATAATCTTTCATACTTCATTTATACATATGTGAGAGTAGGAAGGCAGATCTATTTCTTTCCTTTCTCTGTTAAAAAAACTTATCCTCTTCCCCTACGTCCCTCAGAAAATACAAGGAAAGCATAGTGGAAAAGTGACTTGATGTTATAGTTTTTAGTTTATTTTTGTCTTTTTTGCTTATACTCAATAATGGCTTCTTTTGTGCGCCTTCAGAAGCTTTTGCTGCTCTGAAACTTGCGGAGGAGAAGTTTTTATCTGTTTCAAAGTCACAAATTCAGCTTGTAAAACTTCAGTTGCTCCATGATCATGCTTTACATACGTAAGGAGACTTCTCTAATGCTAATCAAGTTGCATAAAATTATCCTTACTTGGTTTTAAACTTCCTTTTGCTTGTCTGATTGGATATTAGTTGCCTCTCAGGGGAAATTTAAAACTTGCTCAACAGTTGTGTGATGAGCTAGGTGTTTTAGCCTCTTCAGTAACTGGTGTAGATATAGAGATAAAAGTTGAAGCTAGCCTCCGCCATGCACGAATACTAATTGCAGCGAACCAATTTAGCCAGGTAGTCTGCTTTCCTTTAGTTAGATCTCTTTCGAGTTGATTCGGTAAGGTATATGTTGGATGGTGAACTTGTTCTTATATCCACATGACCTGCTAACTTAATAGTTTCTACTTCTCTTTTTGAACTTTGAACAAATGATATGATGCAAGAATGTAATTGATTAATTTTTTTGCTCATGTACTATCATTTCTAATCAAAAGAAGAATGTGCCACTTGTTCCGAAGAAAAGGTGAATGAATAATGAAAAGGAATATGGTCAATTACATCCTACACTGGTGATTTTCAAATACACTTGTGATAGAAAATTGGATATCTTTGTTGCTTGCTCTTTGGTCAGGAAAAGATTTAAGTTTTCTTGTTTTTCTTTCTGCTTTTCCCTCTTCTATTTGCATAAATATATTCACTTTTAAGGCTTTGGCTGTTCTTCTAAGTGAATCATCATACTGTTGTGCTGATGATCATGTTTTTTCTTTAGTTCATTGCCTGTATTAGTACTGATAGATCATTTTCATTGTCCTCAAGGCCTTCAATTTTCTCGAAAACTTGCATGGTTTTCTGTAATGAGCAGTTTTTTCTCATGATAATGGACATGAAAATCACAAGGCCATGGTCTGGTTCAAAGTGGCAGCACCAGCAAGTCTGGTCTTGGTTCTAAAGTCTAGTAATATTTGATCATGCTTGATTCTGTGCAAAGCATGCTTGCAAACTGAGTATGAATAGTTCACTTACAGGTTTTCTTTTGCCTTTGATGCCGAGGATTTTAACGACATCGACTCTACTCTCTGGTCTTGCAGCCAATGTGGTGATAATGATCATTCTGCAAGACTATTCTGAATGAGCTGTTACCTTAAGATATTGGAATATCACCTACCAAAAAGAAAATATTTGAATATCAAATTTGTTTATATAGACAAGTCCACCCTGAATCTCTTTTCCCCAAGTTCTCACAAATTTTGTTTCTCTTTCATCTGATAACTTGATATTGTGCTGTGGTGCTAAAGTATTTTTCATCCTTTTCTGATTTTCTAAGCTATAGGCAATAATTTGCTCTAGTTTGAATAGTGACAGAGGCCAAAGGCAATAAGCATCTAAAGAATTTCTTAATTTCCATTCTTGTGCATATGATTCTTCCAGGCAGCATCTATCGCACACTCTCTCTTCTGTATGTGCTACAAATTCAGTTTACAAGTCGAGAATGCCACTGTTCTTCTTTTACTTGCAGAGATACACAAGGTATTGATTTACTGTTAATCGATATTTTTGCTCACAGGCAAGTACTTTCTTATAAAAAATATCACCTCGTCAGAAGAAATGGAACTTCTTTTACCGCTTATGCATCTTCACCATTGGATTTGTAAAATTTGAACTACTGAGACCCACACTCTTTCCTTTCTCTGACATGATCAAGATGTAATATAACTATGTTCATCCATTTCAGAGATCAGGAAATGCTGTTTTAGGTATTCCGTACGCGTTGGCAAGCCTTTCCTTTTGTAAATCATTCAACTTAGACCTTCTCAAAGCATCTGCTACGCTGACGCTGGCGGAGCTTTGGCTCTCACTTGGATCAAGTCATGCAAAAAGAGCTTTGGCTCTCATACATGGGGCATTTCCTGTACTTCTTGGTCACGGTGGTTTGGAGCTTCGTGCTCGGGCTTTTATTACTGAAGCAAAATGCTATCTTGCTGACTCGAGCTTTTCAGGTGCCTTATCGGAATTTTAATGCTCCACCTGTTTGCATACTTACTGTAAATATGACTTTTCATTAGCTTGTGCTCTAATCAGATCTCATTTTTGAGTTTTAACTACATCCTGTGTTTTCAACCTCATATATAATTCTTGTCCATGTCACCCAAATGATGCAAATGCCTCCACATTTTGCGAACTACGTTTTTTAAGTAATGGATTACATGGTCCATCATAAGTGAGAATCAGAGGATTAAGAGAAATTTGGGCAGTTTTTTTGCGTAAGGACTCTTTTTTAGCAATTATAGCTCTTGTGATTGCCTACGATTTTATGAATCAGAATGGAATAGGAGAACCTGCCCATCAGTCCAATAGTTCGCCTCATCTCCAGCCATGACTTTCCATCTACCTTCCCAATCAAGCTGCCCTCCATTCCCACCTCCCATGGTTCATATATCCTTTGACCTTGAGATTTTTATGATTAATTTTTCGCTCTTTGAATATGATTTACCATATTTGAGTCAAATATAAATGACAAGGACAAACTAGTTCCACTTGAAAACAATTATAACCTAAATTGAAAATAATATCTTTTGGGATTTAGCTGGTATAAGTGTATCAATGAAGTCTTATGAAGTCTTTTGTGGCCTTCCTCGCAAGAATTACATCATCCTGCCCTGTACCTCACTTGAGACTCTACCTCCCATTAATGCACACACAGAGACATGCAAGTCACTTAGAAATTGAAAATTAACTAGCTGCTGAATTTTCTTGTTGCGCTGTCTTCTTAAATTAATTAGCTTCCCTGTGCTTAGTGTTACTTAATGTTCTCAGTATCTGAAGAACCAGAAATGGTACTTGAACCGTTGACGCAGGCTGCCAAAGACCTGGAACTTCTAGAGGTTAGTCAATATGGACAATTTAGCATTCAATTCAATGACATTTATACTCTAGTTAAAAGACTTCAGTTTTGGTTCCAAGAAATTTGTAATTCCTCATTGTGTATTAATATGCTAAAAGAAGTACATTGGATTACGTTGTGGGAAGTGATATACATCAATAGCTAAGTGAAATAATATCTAGAAAATACAAAATTTGTATTCCATGAAATTCATCTTTCTATCTTAAATTTAATGTTCTTCCTCTTTACCCTGTCAGAAAACCTTAACTCTAAGCAAATGTGTGTGTGTGTGTTTGGGTGAGGTTTTTTGTGTTCATATATATGGACAAATAGGTGTAAGCCTGCTATACGAAATAAAAACATGTTAAAAGTAGAATGTAAATGAGAAACACAAAGGCAGAACTATCTAAAATTATCATTTGAGTGAGGTGAAGGAGAATTAAAAAGGGAAAGTAAAGAAAGGTACAATTCTTTAAACTGTAATTACCAATTACATGAGATTAATGGAAAGAAATGAAAGGGCTGAGGCCGAAAAGAAGCAATTCTATAAGATTAGGGTTCAGTTAGGTGAACTAAATGCTCTTCAGAATTGAGAACCAATTGAGTCAGGTGAAGTAAAAGAGAAAAAGATTAAAGTACGTGAATTAACCTTCTCCATTTTCCTGACCCTCTTCAAAGAAAGTATTTTCCTTAAAATATACTTAGTTTTTCCCTCCTCGATCCACCCCATTTTCTTTTCCATCATACTTGTTTTATTGTTCCAAATCTTAGAAAAGTAAATGCACGTTCCATTCTGGGCCTTGCAGAATACTTTTCGGACTCCAGCTTCTATTTGTTAGCTGAATTCGATAAAATAATGGTCTCCGGAGATATTTAATCTGCAAAATTTACTCTTATCTCATCAATTCTCGTGAATGTGGAGTAGCTAATGCTGTTTGTGTAGCACTAGATTTGGCATTTTGCATCCAGTTCCATTGTAAATTATCATATTTTCTTCCATTAATTCTCTAGGCGTCAATCAGAAGTAGGAACAATTGAGAGATACTCTAGAGAATAAAAGATTTTAAGATAAGTAGAAGTAAGACATAGTATAAGCACTGCCAGTGTAGTTCCATGAGAAAGATGAAGGTGGAACGAAATTAGAGGTGATTATTGTGGCTAAATGTATACTGTGAGAAGGCACGAGAGAAAATATGATATATTGATATTGTGTGTTCAATACAATACAAGAGGTCCTTATTTATAGCTATACTATACAAGGACATACTACTCCTATTCCAATGTGGGACAAGACTACATTATGTACATATCTAACCCTTCCCCTCAAGCCGGTGCATACACATCATATGTACCGAGCTTGTTACACATGTAACTAATACGAAAACCAGTAAGAGACTTAGTGAAAATATCTGCTAGTTGATCATTCGACTTTACAAACTTTGTAACAATATCTCCTGAAAGTATTTTTTCGCTGACAAAGTGACAGTCGATCTCAATGTGTTTAGTCCTCTCATGGAACACCGGATTTGACGCAATATGAAGAGCAACTTGGTTATCACACACTAGTTCCATCCTTGCTGATTTCTCCGAACTTTAACTCCATGAGCAACTGCTTGACCCAAACTAACTCACACGTTGCCATAGCCATGGCCCGATATTCCGCTTCGGCGCTAGATCGAGCAACTACATTTTGTTTTTTGCTCTTCCACAAGACCAAATTACCTCATACTAGAACACAATATCCAGATGTAGATCGTCTATCAGAAGGTGATCCTGCCCAATCAACATCTGTGTACCCAACAATCTGCTCGTGGCCTCAATCCTCGAATAGTAATCCTTTGCCCGGAGCTGACTTTATATACCGAAGAATACGAACAACTGCATCCCAGTGACTATCACAAGGAGAATCCATAAACTGACTTACAACACTCACCGGAAAAGAAATGTCAGGTCTAGTCACTGTGAGGTAATTCAATTTTCCAACCAACCTCCTATATCTCGTGGGGTCTCTAAGAGGCTCCCCCTATCCAGGCAGAAGCTTAGCATTCAGAACCATAGGAGAGTCAATAGGTCTGCAACCTCAGTACCTAGGTCCGCTGTGAAATAACAATACCTGAGCTAGACTGAGCGACCTCAGTACCTAGAAAATACTTCAGTCTGCCCAGATCCTTGGTTTGGAAGTGCTGAAAGAGATATTACTTCAGATTAGTAATACCATCATGATCGTTGCTAGTAATAACAATATCATCAACATAAACCACCAGATAAATACACAGATTCGGAGCAGAATGCTAATAAAACGCAGAGTGATCAGCCTCACTACGAGTCATGCCGAACTCCTGAATAATTGTGCTGAACTTACCAAACCAGGCTCGAGGGGACTGTTTCAAACCATATAGTGACCTGCGCAATCTGCATACACAACCACTAAACTCCCCTGAGCAACAAAACCAGGTGGTTGCTCCATATAAACTTCCTCGTCAAGATCATCGTGGAGAAAAGCATTCTTAATGTCTCATTGATAAAGAGGCCAATGACGTACATCAGCCATGGACAAAAAAAGACGAACAGATGCTACTTTAGCCACGGGAGAGAAAGTATCACTATAATCAAACCCAAAAATCTGAGTATATCCTTTTGCAACAAGACAAGCCTTAAGCCGATCAACCTGGCCATCCGGGCCGACTTTGACTGCATAAACCCAACGACAACCAACAGTAGACTTACCTGCAGGAAGAGGAACAAGCTCCCAAGTGCCACTCGCATGTAAAGCAGACATCTCGTTAATCATAGCTTGTCGCCATTCAGGATGAGACAGTGCCTCACCTGTAGACTTAGGAATAGAAACAATGGACAAAGAAGATATAAAAGCATAATGAGGTGACGACAGACGATGATAACTTAGACCAACATAGTGGGGATTAGGATTAAGTGTGGACCTTACACCTTTGCGGAGTGCAATTGGTTGACTAAGAGGAGACAAGTCCGTAGTAGGTGCATAATCTGATGCAGGACGTGAATCACCTGGGCCTGATGCTGGATGTGGACGGCGATGATAAGTCAAGAGTGGCGGAGCTGCAGAAGGTTGAACTGGATTATGTGGAGCAATTGGACCTATAGGTGGTGGAACTGGAGCTATAGATGGTGGAGCTGGAGATGTAGAGGAAGATGGATGGGAGATAGTGACTAAATCTCCAAAAGAAGAGACTGGTAGTACCTCAGAAATATCTAAGTGATTACCTGGACCAGTGAAGTATGATTGGGTTTCAAAGAAGGTAACATCAACGGACATAAGGTGCCGCTGGAGGTCAGGAGAATAGCATCGATACCCCTTTTGCGTTCTCGAGAAACCAAGAAATA